CAAAAGAAAAGGATGGGGAAAGCAAAGGAAGTATTTGCAATATGTGAAACAGGTTTGGTAATCTCGTTTATTAAAATTAATATTAAGATTGGTACAAGTTCGCGAAAGTAATGGCATTGCACGATCTTATATTTCTGCAAATTCTACTTCAAGTGTTGGTCGAAATGATAATTTCTTTGCAGCGGAAAATTTAGATATTATTAAATTAAGATTTAAGGAGATATAAGATGAAAGGATAAGAGACGATTACATTAACGTGATCAAAGAGATAGTTTCAAATCTGATGTACATTATCAGATTTATTTTCTATTAGACACACAGAGATTTTAAATAAAAAAATGCAAATTTTTTATAATGAACAATTAACAGACTGATCAATAACCTTAACATTACTATGTGGATATTAAGGATTAATAAGCAAAAAGAGCATAAATAGTAATATGTATATAATAAAAAATAACATAATATTTTATATTATAATCTGTGTGATACGATTAAAACGATTTAATATTAATAATAATATTAATTTCACATTATAAAACAATAATTAACAAATTAATATATTACTAATTATTATATGATAGATAACCGTCGCGCTTTATGTTGTAAAAACATTTATCGGCATGATTTAATCGTATGAAGTCACACCGGGGCATCACCATTATCATTAGTCATGTTGTTTACTCTAGATCCTCGGGAAACGCTGACAGCGTAGAGATGTTTTCTTCCGCCCAACCTAGAATTGACTTCGAGCTGGTTGAGAACGCGAGCTTATCGAGTAATTCCATATGTCCTGGAGGCAGGTTATCACGACAAACACGTCTGCTTCTACGCACGGAGGCTGTTCTCCGCGCACGAGACTCGATGCATCGGAATGATGTCGGCGCTCCGTTTACATTCTACGATCGAGGAATACGGTTCGGCGAAACAGCAAAGGCGCAAAGCTAACGCGATAGCAGTTGGCGGAATTAACGTATTCGCATTACGCAAAGCTCACCGCGGCTATATGAATGCTAATTAGCGGAAGATGTACTGCTTATGGTGCTGCTTCTGGTAAGGTGCTGTCTTCTAAGACTAGCGTGATAGATATTACATTCGCAGTCGACCTTTGTTTCGCAGTAGTACAAGTCATTTACAGGTGCGGCGTTATAATTCTTGGAATCCGCGGTAACGCAAGTGTATGTGTATGTAACATTCGCGCTGCTTCTTTATGTAAAAAATATATTTACCCTACACTGAGCGTAGAGCACGGGCGATTGAATGAAGGATTACGATCGTTTATTCATGATCAACCGTATCTCTGCTCCCTGAGAATACTTGAGTAGATTCGCATCTGCGCGAAAGCATACTATGTTTCTTTCTCTGCGTTAGGGGAAAAAGCGTACAACGTGCGTCTACGTAATGTTATATACAGGGTGCGGCATTTATAGTGACGCGGGCATATTTTTCGGAAAATAGACAAAATAGACAAAAATGTTTTAGACAAAAGTTGCATGGTTTCGAGAGGGCCACATGATGAAAATATGGACTTGACCTTGAGTGATGTCAGGTCAACCAAGTCAATGTGATCGATGTTTTCTTAAATGGAACCCCCCATTCAATGTGATCAATGTTTTCTTAAATGGAACCCCCTTCCCCATTTTTTATTGCATATTCTTGTAGCTTATCTCGAGAGCTTTTCAAAACACTATAATCAAGTATTTTTTCATTAAGTACTTTTTGAGTTATTTTATATTTTAATCTGATATTTTGATATAAAAGATAAAATATCTCGTAAAATATTTAGTTTTCGATAATCTTACCGTAATATTTTTATGTACAGAATAATAGACAAATCAATCAGTGTAAAAAAAAATAATTGTTTTTAAGAAAAAGTATGTAATTATTTACAATGTATTTTTTAAAACAATTATTTGTTTTGTTTTTTACACTAATTGATTGCCTCATTATTCTGTACATAAAAGTATTACGGTAAGATTATTGAAAACTAAATAATTTACATCAAAATATCAGATTAAAAGATAAAATAACTCAAAAAGTACTTAATGAAAAAATACTTTATTATAGTGTTTTGAAAAGCTCTCGAGATAAGCTACAAGAATATGCAATAAAAAATGGGGAAGGGGGTTCCATTTAAGAAAACATTGATCACATTGACCTCACTTTGAAAAGGTCACTCAAGGTCAAGTCCATATTTTCATCATGTGGCCCCCTCGAAACCATGCAACTTTTGTCTGAAACATTTTTGTCTCTCGGGCTCAGTTTTCGAGATATTCGCGTGGATTGATTAAAATGGTCCACCCTGTATATATATATATCCTATAAGATTTTAGGAAAAACAAAAATTCTCTAATATTAAACTCATTATTATCTGTAACAAATCAAATAAATCTGAGTTAATTTTAACTGATAAGTAATGGAAATTATTAATAAAAAAGAGAATTTAAAGTAATGCATGTCTCGTGTTGTGTATAGTATTCTTTAGTATATTAGTTGATCAATGTTTTTTTAGATTAGAATATCTTAATAAAATAACGTAAATCAATCAATATTTGTTTACAAGGATCCAAAACATTTCTTACTAGCAATAATGTGTATATATAACATTATATATATAAGCGTGTGTATATATATTTCTATCACTAAAATTCTTTTAAATGCATTAAACAAACAGAAAACATGCACAATGAACATTTATTTAAACAATATTGAATGAAAAATTAAAATTTTGCTAGAATTATACTTCTCAGTCAATTTGCAACAATCTATTCAACATCCTGTTACTATATATATAAGTTTGAACAATCAGAATAAAATGTAACATAATATCTTTCACAATAGTTAATATATTTTCAACGAGATTAATATTTTTTATATAAAATTTATTAAATACTACTTATTATTTTTTGACGATATGAAAGTGATCAAGTAGAAATATAAGATATCTCATAATCACTTTATATTTTTACAACATATTTTAAACATAAAATAGAAAATAGTAAAGTCCAAGATCCTAATACAAAGATGTCAACAATTTTTAAATTTTAACAATTTATAAATTATTAAAGCCAATAATATTGTGGGGAATTAGCATACTCAGGTCTTTAACTACATTTACATGCATATTAGGATCTGCCATCTATTATTGATACAAGTCAACTAATATTGATTTTTATGGCATAGCTGGTTTTGGCTTGCTGCTTCTTATACCATTACTATTAGCCCAGTCAACGAAGGCCCGTTTTAAGCAAATAAAAAAAATAATTCCAAAAGTTTTGAAAATTTATAGAGATGTTCATTTAGGCTTACTAATGAACGTCTAAAAAGTCCTGAAAAATTGAAGATGAGCTATCGCCGCCATCTTGAAAAATAGATGAACTTTTTCGGTTTTTTGCATATATCTCGTAAAATATTAACTTAATTGAAAAAGTAGTTATTATCAAAATGAGAGTTTATTAAATCGTCTACAAAAAAGGTATGATTCAATTTTTTTTAGCTATAATAGTTTTCGAGAAAATAGGCTGCGAATGTCGCCTGAGTCGATCAGTGAACTGTGTACAAGTGTACACCTATGTATAAGTGTACTCCTATATGTATACTATAGTGATGGAATCCAATTCAGGACTCCAGAATGTTCATCCTTAAGATCCTCATCGTTATATTATCTGTACAGAACAAAAATGTTCATTGTAAATATATGAACTAGAAGAGGAATATTTAATTTTTATACATTTTTTATACTTACTTTTTGTTATTGACGCAGTCTTTTGCTAGCACGGCTAGTACAGGGAATATCCTCATTTGCCATAAAAAAATCCGATCGATCGTGTAGATCGTCGAAATCCTCTATACTGGACGATGCTCTCAAGCTTGCTTTCCATTGCTGTTCGTCTGCATCTTCTATTTCATTGTCATTTACTTTGTCAATGACTGTGCTCGTGCTATTCAAACAATTTCCATGACAATTATTGCGAATTATTGTGCAATTAATTCCTGTCTTCTTGCATCCACACAAGATGCAGACAAACCGCGATCAAAGACAAGCTTGAGAGCATCGTCCAGTGCAGAGGATTTCGAAGATTTACACATTCGATCGGATTTTTTTATAGCAAATGAGGATATTTCCTGTACTAGCCGTGCTAGTAAGAGACTGCGTCAATAACAAAAAGTGAAACTTTTGGAATTATTTTTTTTATTTTTCCTTCGTTGACTGGGCTATATGTTTACTATAGCAATTGATATTGACAAGTTGATTACTAATAGCAATAATTTAACATTACATTAATAGCTGATTTGTAAAAGTCAATAATAAATGATACATCTCAATATGCATGTAAGTATAATTATAGACCTGAGAATTTACAATTTTTATGTTATATCATTGGCCAACTTCAATAGCTTATAACTAAAAAATTGATTGTGATCTCGACATTTTTGTATTAGAATTTTTTATTCTATTTTACTTTTAAAATAAAGTATTATAAAATGATTGTGAAGCACTCTATAAATGTATATAATGTAAATAAATTAAGTTTACTTTGAATAATAACTTATTCCTCTATTAGATATTGTTGTTTAAATAGTACCAAGGCCCAAAAGATGACAAGGCAACAAATATTTTTTTACTTACTGTTATTAGCCATCAAGTTTTCATGCAACTTGTCTCTCTGATCCTCCAAAACCTCCCCCAGATATGTCGCCACTTTACGTGTTACTTGCTCCACATATGCATCAAGTTTGCCAAGATCATCCGATAAACCAACCAATTGATCCAATGTTCCAACTTTTAGATCCGGAATGTGAAATTTGTAGTTCACTGACAAAGAATGCTGCTTAGATGTTAAGTTGTTCATAGTTTCCCATGTTTGCTGACAGGTTTTGTCTCCTGGTGCGGATATTAGCCAGTATTCTGTCATTTTTACTAATATATCTTTTTTATAAATAATTTTTTAATATACCTGAAACAATAATATTATATTCTCAATAATTTTATTTATAAAATACAGGGTGTTCCAGGTCAAGTCAATGAAACTTCAGGATCTTATAGAAAATTGAATTTGAAACAAAAAAGTGCCGATAAATATAGTTCCAGAAATGCTTCGTTAAAAAGTTATAGCTAATAAACTTCGAAAAATCATGTTTTTTGATGATTTTTAAAGATAACTTTAAAACCCTTTATTCATTCGAAAAACGTAACGAAATAAATTTAATATGGGTAATTAAATAACAAATAAATTACACCAATTTCATTCAATTCTGATGACATTCAAAAAAAAAAAAAAAAATAAGCTCAAAACAACAAAAAAAGCAGAAACTTGAAAAAACCACTTTTCGATGATCTTTTTGTAAACACTACATTCATAGTGCAAACATTGCAAATGCAAACATAAAAATGTTCTTAAATTTTGATCATAACTAATTATACTTACAGAGAGTTTATTAGCTATAACTTTTTAATGAAGCGTTTCCAGACCTATGTTTATCGAAACTTTTTAATTCCAAATTCAGTTTCCTATAAGATCCTGAAGTTTCATTGACCTGATCTGGAACCTTGTATAAGCTATACATGATAAAAATATAGTTACAAAAATATAAATTTCATAAATTGTGCATAGTTTTCTTTTCTACTCATAAAAATATTTATAAAAAAATAAAGATGGTATTTCCATATAAAAATTGAAATAAATATGTGTGTGTAAGAATGTAATTTTTATATTATATATTAAATTATTTGAATATATTATAATATAAAAATAATGACATACAAGTATAACATAATATTATGCACAAGTAACTGTCAATTAATTACTTTTAATTGTTAAAATATATTTTATAGCATTAATATATAATTCTCAGATATCTATAAACATATATGTTATTTATACATACATGTCACAATATACATATATTACAATTTAAAACAACAAATTATATATATCTTTGTTTGTGTCTGTAGACCTTAAAAGCAAGTATGCTACAATAATGTATTATACAAATAAATAATTATAAATATATCATGTGTGTTAGCCTCAATAAATGCAAAACTGAATTTTTCCAACCACCTGCTATTATCATGTTTATCATCTATCAAGGCATCAAATGCATAAGCATACCATGCCACTTGTATTTGCGCGATTTCCGAAACAGTAAGCATAATTGTCAGATGGAAGGCACGTAAAGTCAAATTAAAATAGATTTGTGCAGATTATTGAACATGTGGCGAGTGTACTGAAAAAGGGGGTGTGGCACGAACGAATATTGTCTGCTTAATGTTATATAATTAATGTGTCTTCCACGTGACCGTACATACGAATGGCGCGCTAAACCTGCCACCAATCAACATTAAAAAAAAAAATCCACAAAGACGTTACAATGCAACGCGCGAAAAGTGACACGTTCTTAGACAAATTTTTATTTTAATACGTAAATTTGGCAGGAGAAACATCGCATTAGAAGAAAAGCCGTTGTCTCAGGCTAATTCAATGGCGTCGGTGAACATCAGATTCGCTTTCGAAATCAATAAGGCACGTCGGTGAAACAAGTATATAATGACGGACAATTATATTACATCTATGTGCGAAGAAGCCTTGGCAAAAAAAAATTCGCGAGAAATACTTCAATTGGCTTATAACACCGATCAGTGAATTTGACAGTTAAGTTCATAGTATTAACAATGATCGACGATTGTCGATAGTAAAATGGACGTAATGGAACGTACCAGCGGGAAATCGTTTGGAGTCTCGTTGTCGTTAATGTCGTCGACGCAGCCAATCGCCAGATTGGCGCTTTTCACAGAAATTTAAAAGGTCTCGCTAGCTGGACGAAACTGCTTGCCGACGACAAAATCAGCAGAAAACATTGTGACCTCTCACGTGATGACAATTATGTGCTGCTACTTGCGTCTCATTCGATAACTAAACCGTGAACTAAATGCTGTCAGCTGACTCGTGAGCTAAACCATAGACATATAAGTATCAATGAGGAAAGAATCATAGGAGAGAACATATCGGTAGTGGGGGTAAACTTTTCGCGAACGGTAGTAGCCATCTTGAGCATGCACTTTTGTGACGTTTTTCAGGGCCGTGCACAGCCACTTGTTGCCTTAAGGTACCTTTACATGGCAGCGTTAAGCGTCGAGCGTCTGCGTAGAAAATTGCGTAGAATCTAATTTCAGCCTAGAATCTATCTCTTTTAAATTCTGCGCATTTTTCTGCGCAGACGCTCGACGCTTAATGCTGCCATGTAAAGGCACCTTTACTTGTTCCAGTCTGCATTTATTTTGCGCACAATCACCGATTCTAAATAAGTGAGAGGAAGAGCCAATATTAGGCTAAAAAAATGTTATTAATAAGTGTTAATTGTAAGATCACGGTGCATTGCCAGGCCTTTGAGATACTTCCCATATGGGCTATCGCACACAAAATTAACATAGCTGCATATGCATAGCATAAGACCGTCTGGACCAATGAGCATCGAACATAAAATCACCATATTGATTTACATAGTAAACGCCCTACACAGATACGACAGTGCCGCTGCCACGGAAGAGATGGATGCTTGGTTCGTGCCTCCTCCCGCCTTAAATCCCCCCCTCGCTTCACTCATGTTTAAGCAATTAATTGAATCTGCATGATTTTTTTGCTCGTAACCGAGAAGCAGTTTAGAAGGTGAAGCCTTCAGAGATGAATGAAAGGTGTTATTAATAACATATTGCACCGTTCCTAGGCAATTATGCCAATCCTGCAGTTCATCAATTAATTTTTGAAAGGAAGATTTCAAAAATCTATTCACCCTCTCGACCATTCCATTTGCCCAAGGGGCAGCGACAGCTATAAGTCTATGACCAATATTATTATCTTTCAAAAAAGTTTCAAACTCTTGTGAAGTGTAAGCGGTACCTCGGTCCGAAACTATTGTTTGCGGATTTCCAAATATCTGAAATAATAAAGTCAAGTGTTTTACTACTTCTTTTGAGCTAGTTGTTTTAGTAGGATATAACCATGTGAATCTGGTGAATGCATCCACAACAACTAAAATATGTTTAAAACCTTGTTCGGACTCGATGATGGGACCACAATGATCGATATGAATTGTTTGAAAAGGAGAGTAAGGACTTTCAGTAATTTGTAATTCTCCTTCACATGAGTTTGATGCTGAATTTGCCATCAGGCATATAATACAATTATCAATGTGTGATCGAATGCGTTTACGCAGCGAAGGAAACCAGTAATTACTAGTAATACCCTGTAAAGTTTTTTCCATGCCGTAATGCGCCATGTCATCGTGATAGACACGAATCACATTAGTCACCATTGATTCGGGAACATAAAATCGAGGTTTGTCTGGGCCTTTTCTGAATACTAATCCGTTTAACATCTCGAACTTCTCATGATCATTTTCTTCAAGATCTGTCGCGATATTCTTAATTATCGGATCATTCAATTGACGGAATTCGAGTTCTTTCTCCAGAGGTAGCGAATCAACAAGAGCAACAACACGACTTAATGCATCAACGTGAGCCATTTTGACACCCGGTCGGTGAGATACGGAAAAAGTATATGATTGCAACCTTAGAGTCCAACGTGATATGCGCGGATTTAAATGTGCTTTATTGACTGCATAAACCAAAGCATGACAGTCGGTGACAACCGCAAACCGTAAACTGTATAAGTAAATATGAAATCTTTCTATAGCCTTTACAACGGCTAACATTTCCAATTCAAAACTATGATATCGAGATTCGGCGTCGTTTGTTGCCTGACTATAGTAAGCAACTGGAGCCCATTTATTTATATCTTGTTTTTGCAATAAGATAGCGGCCAATGCCAATGAACTTGCGTCGGTATGAAGTTGCGTTTCTGCACTTGGATTATAAATACGAAGAACCGGAAATGACGTTAAAACTGACTTCAATGAATCAAATGCTTGTCGACAATCATCATTAAAAAAAAAAATCAGTCGATTTTCGTAAAAGATTATGAAGAGGTCTTGCTATAAGTGCATAATTTTCAATAAATTTAAGAAAATAATTCGTTAATCCAAGGAAGCGTTGCAATTCTACCATTTTAGTCGGATATGGAAAGTTCTTAATTGCGTCTGTATGACGGGAACTCAAAGTAATACCGGAAGCCGATACAATATATCCGAGATATTCAATTGATTTTTGCAAAAACAAACATTTTTTCAAATTCATTTCAAGCGAGTATTGTTTAAATGGTATGAGTACTTTATACAAGGTTTCAAAATTTTCTTCAACTGACGAGGACGGAATTAAAATATCGACAATATAAACAATTACTTTATTCTCGCGAATTAGAGGTTGTAAAATTTGTACAATTCTTCGCTGAAACTCAGCGGGAGATTCACAAAAACCGAATGGTAGCCGTTTGTATTCGAACTTAACGCTAGGCTTTATAATTCCACGCGCTAACAAATCATCTGTTATTTCGCGAATCTGAATCCGTTCTGACCAAGCAAAGCGTCGCGGCGCATACGCATATGTTGATTCATCTTTTAACGCTACTTTTACATAGTATTCATTTGAATCTGGTTCTACATCCGTTTTTTTTACATCATTAATTATAGATATGACCCTTTGGTCAGTGTCAATACCAAAGTCTGTTTTAATATTTGTCAAATCAGAATTCTCACAAGACAAAAAATCTTCTAATATATCGGCTGATGCCACTTCATTAATCAGTTTTAGCTTATCATCCGTATTTTTACTTGAGGGATGATAATATATAGCAATATCGTTATTAATTATAAAATCTCGTCCTATGATTAAATCAACAAAATGAGATTCATTTTGAAAAACGAGCAAACTTATATCACCGATAAATTGTGGAAGGAATTCCAAACAGATTTTAGCATTGACTGAACCAAGAATTGGTATTATATTACCGGAAACCGATTGATATGAAATTAACGACTTATTAAGAACAACGGATGAGTCATTAAAATATTTCTTATAAACCGACGGAGAAATAAATGAAACAGGACTGCCGGTGTCGAGTAACGCATTCAATGAACACGGAGTATTATTTAATAAAACGACCTTAAGCGAAGAGTCTTCCGTATCCAGCCTCCGAGTGTGAATATCATTGATGGCTGCTACAGGAGGAGACATCTCCGGATCGATGGCAGCTACTAGAGCAGGCGTCGATGAATCAATGGCAGCTATTGGAGTTGAAGAAACTGGAACAGGAAAACGCTGCTGCTCCTTCCTCTTCAACTTGAAGCAGTTGGTTTTGACGTGACCGCGTGCACGCCATACACAATAATAATTTGAAAAACGAGCAAACTTATATCACTGATAAATTGTGGAAGGGATTCCAAACAGATTTTAGCATTGACTGAACCAAGAATTGGAATTATATTACCGGAAACCGATTGATATGAAATTAACGACTTATTAAGAACAACGGATGAGTCATTAAAATATTTCTTATAAACCGACGGAGAAATAAATGAAACAGGACTGCCGGTGTCGAGTAACGCATTCAATGAACACGGAGTATTATTTAATAAAACGACCTTAAGCGAAGAGTCTTCCGTATCCAGCCTCCGAGTGTGAATATCATTGATGGCTGCTACAGGTGGAGACATCTCCGGATCGATGGCAGCTACTGGAGTAGGCGTCGATGAATCAATGGCAGCTATTGGAGTTGAAGAAACTGGAACAGGAGAGCGCTGCTGCTCCTTCCTCTTCAACTTGAAGCAGTTGGTTTTGACGTGACCGCGTGCACGACAATATACACAATAATTGTCTTTGTCTTCCTTCTGGTATTTTGAAGAGTAATCAGATTTCATTGTCGAAGCACCACTATCTCGCACTTTCTCAGACTTGGAATGCGACGAATATTCCTTCTTCATCGAATTTCCAAAAGAAAGTGTGGCCTTGTGCATCTCATCAAGGAAGGCGTCCAAAGAGTCGGCACGTATTACGGATGCAGCACTGCGAATAGCATCATTATTAATACCACTAATTAAAAAGTGAATTGAGTCATCATCAGGCAGTCTCAATCTTTGCATTAAGGAAAGTTTATCCAATGCATAATCCTGAAACGATTCATGAGGATAATTCCAATTTCTTGACTCAATCTTTTTCATCACAATTTCATAAGGAATTTTTCTTCTAAAATGTCTTAAAAGAGCACTTCTGAAACTTGACCATGTATCATTTATCGTACCTGTACCAAGTTCAAACCATTTTCGAGCTGATTTAACCAGTTTACCAGAAGCAGCTAACAGCATCACATCTTGAGAAGCACCATGGATGCGTGATACTCGTTCAACCTTTTGAATCCATAATTCCACATCATCATCATCCTTGCCGCTGAACTCAGGCAATTGAGATGCCAAAAGATTTACTAAGACTGACCTTGTGATTCAGTATTGGACGAAGCAAAAGCCATTAAAAGCTCTGCCATTTGTTGTTGGTGTTTCGAGAGAAGAGCGCAAATCTTGGGTACAAGATTCTCTGACATCACACCCGCTGTATTACCCGTAGAAGAAGAATGAGAAGCCGTTTGTGCTGATAGAGCTTCTTCAGAATTCTGACAGGCTGGTAAAGCTGAAGCTTCTTCTTCGGCGAGTGAACAAGGATGAGAAGGAATATCGCTTGCTTCAAAGAAGATAGTTTTCCTTCGATCCGAAGATATGGGTGGATTTGAAGAATCTTCCATATAATTGTTCTTCTCGAAGAAAGGCATCAATAAATCGATACATCCTTCCCGTGAATTTGATGGCTTAAAACCTTGTTTTTTTGCTATCGCCTGGAGTTCCTTAAAAGATAACTTCTCCAAAGATGATCGGTCCATGGCAACTCCAGTATCCAACGTCTCCAACACGAAAGAATCAAGAAAACGCGCGAACAAATGAACGAGAGGTCAACACGCAATTTTTCTCAAATAAACCACAAGCGAATGCGATAAATCGGTGGAAAAAACACTTACACGAACGACCGAACACTTTTTGCTGTCGTATAAAAAGAGTTTATTGACTCTACCGATTCGTGATGCGTACCACTGAACACGCTCACTGTAATACGCAAATATTAGCGCGTAACACTAATATCGATAATTATCGATTATTCTCACTGTTTAATACGACTTGATTAACGATCAAAAAGATCAAGGGAAAACGCGCACGATCCCGCTTCTGAAAAATTTGCTGTAAGACAGCGAGTCAATTTCGAGTTTGTCAGGAGAATGGCTTTCGGAAAAGGAATTGTTTAAAACAGAGGAATAATGCGTACAGGAGCAATGTCGTATATTTTAGAACAGAACGCGATAAATCGTTAATTCACAATGTTGGTTAACTCAAACATTTAAACGAACGCGTATAATTGGTCAGAGCATATAACCGAACACAAACTATTAAACGACAACTCGAGAAAACGGAGGCAGCAAAGCAATAAGAGCTTTAACGCTGGAGACCGACGAGACGTCCGTACTTTAACGCGTATTCGTGCAAAAGACGCCCGGTCAGCCACAGGTTCATGCAACAGCCTTCGTTACCAGGGAAACGTACATTTGTTGTCTAACAAGGCTCGTTGTTAGGGAAACGTTTATACATTGTTTATAACATGTTATTAAGTTGCTAATTACTAAGCATTCAAATTATGGCGCCCTATTATTATGCGCATGCGGGAGCGCTGTTAGCGCGAACGCTAGTTAATCGATTGTAACGCCATCAACAGCTAATTTCTTACAATAGGACAACCACTGATCTATATATCTGAATTGCTGATAGGCCTCCTGGCGATGTACCCAATTGAAGATCCGCCATTTTACACGCCCGAGGTGCGCGTATGCGTGGTGATGCTCTAAGTGATACCAATAAGTGCAGATCATGGATACCACTTAATAAACTTTTTAACAGTTTTTAACTTTTAACTTCCTTTTTAACTTTGTAACAGCTGCACACGAAAAGGAAGGTCCAAATATTGCCGCACTCTGCGTAAAATTTCAAATATAAAAGGTCTCTTGTGATTTTTCGGTTATTTGCGTTGTTCCCGAGTAAAAAATTTCAGAAGATTGCAATTTGTGTGCGCAATTATATTTTTGGATCGACGTCCGCCATATTTATAATTTTGTTTTTTTATTTCCATAGTTTTATCTGCATCAGTACATAGTCGAGAAATTTTAGTTTCAATCTTTTGATTTATGAAACCTTTTTCTCTTTTGTTCCAGGTTTCCAGTGTCAGACTTTCTTTTATGTCTAACTCCCACTTCATCACGCTTAAGATTCCAGCAGTAGTCGGCCAACATAGTGACATTCCACCGACCTTGGTACCTACGTTTCATCTCTTTTATGTCCTGATGAAATCTTTCTCCTTGCTTTTTACTCATGTCTCCAAGATTTTCAGGGAATGATTTTAAATGAGAATGAAGGAAGTGGACTTTCAAACTCATGTTACAACCTAGCTTTTCGAAACTTTCGAGCATTTTCTCGACAACTGCTTCGTAATTTTCGTCCTTCTTATTCCCTAAAAATTCTTTCACAACATTTTTAAAGTCCACCCATGCCGCTTTTTCATATTTTGTCATCGTATTTTCAAATTCCGTAAACTTCATAACTTTTCTTATATCCGGTCCATTGAAGACTCCTTCTTTTATTTTTGCATCAGATAAGGATGGAAATATCTTAAGAAGAGATTGAAAACATTTTCCATTCTTGTCAAGTGCTTTAACAAATTGCTTCATGAGTCCTAATTTGATGTGTAAGGGAGGCAGAAGTATTTTTTTAGGATCAACCAGAGGTTTCTGAAGAACATTGAATGATCCTGGCTTGAGAGACTTATGCAGAGACCAACTTTTTTTATTCCAATGTTCTTTCCTAGCCCTACTATCCCACAAACAAATGTAACACGGATTTTTTGTGTATCCTAACTGTTGCCCAAGAAGTATAGTTGTTATCTTCAAGTCACCGCATATGAACCATTTATGTTCATCATATTTGATTTTTCCAAGAACCTTTTTCATATTCTCGTAGGATTCCTTTAGATATACTGAGTGGGCAATGGGGATGGAAGCGTATTCATTGCCATTGTGTAAAAGAACCGCCTTAAGGCTTCTCTTGGAGGAGTCGATGAAAAGACGCCAACCTTTTCTTTTTTGTTCCAGGCTTCTAGTGTCAGACTTTCTTTTATGGCTAACTTCCACTTCATCACGCTTAAGATTCCAGCAGTAGTCGGCCAACATAGTGACATTCCACCGACCTTGGTACCTACGTTTCATCTCTTTTATGTCCTGATGAAATCTTTCTCCTTGCTTTTTACTCATGTCTCCAAGATTTTCAGGGAATGATTTTAAATGAGAATGAAGGAAGTGGACTTTCAAACTCATGTTACAACCTAGCTTTTCGAAACTTTCGAGCATTTTCTCGACAACTGCTTCGTAATTTTCGTCCTTCTTATTCCCTAAAAATTCTTTCACAACATTTTTAAAGTCCACCCATGCCGCTTTTTCATATTTTGTCATCGTATTTTCAAATTCCGTAGACTTCATAACTTTTCTTATATCCGGTCCATTGAAGACTCCTTCTTTCATTTTTGCATCAGATAAGGATGGAAATATCTTAAGGAGAGATTGAAAACATTTTCCATTCTTGTCAAGTGCTTTAACAAATTGCTTCATGAGTCCTAATTTGATGTGTAAGGGAGGCAGAAGTATTTTTTTAAGATCAACCAGAGGTTTCTGAAGAACATTGAATGATCCTGGCTTGAGAGACTTACGCAGAGACCAACTTTTTTTATTCCAATGTTCTTTCCTAGCCCTACTATCCCACAAACAAATGTAACACGGATTTTTTGTGTATCCTAACTGTTGCCCAAGAAGTATAGTTGTTATCTTCAAGTCACCGCATATGAACGTGTTCTGTTCATCATATTTGATTTTTCCAAGAACCTTTTTCATATTCTCGTAGGATTCCTTTAGGTATACTGAGTGGGCAATGGGAAGCGTATTGTATTCATTGCCATTGTGTAAAAGAACCGCCTTAAGGCTTCTCTTGGAGGAGTCGATGAAAAGACGCCATTGACTAGGATCATATGATAAACCCAATTTTGCCATCAAACCATGTATATCCGTACAATAAGTTAGTTCATCATCTTCAGCAAAGAATGGAATGTAATCTTTCTCTCTGTCTCTGTACCAAGCAAAAGATGTCCCCGGAGCCAACAGATTCATCTCTTGTAACCTAGACCCTAGCAATTCTGATCGACTTTTAGACAGCATCAAATCTCTTACTAAATCGTTTAGCTGAGCTTGCGTGAACAATTGAGGAGCTTCTGCCTTATCAAAATCAATATTATCATCCGATTGAATACCATCATTCCCTACGTTTTCGTCTTCCGATAGCTCCAGATTTTCCCGTGAGATCGGAACCCTATCCGAAGGTTTTTGGGCAACTGGTTTTGTGACCGAGGTAAGAAATAGAATTTTTATTCGTACTATTAAATCTTTCCATATTTCATAGACAAAAATAGCAGTCTTCGTGAGTCACTGGTTCACGCCAAACCATGGGTAAACTAAACGGCAGCGTTTGCGAGTTACCATCATCTTTTTTCCAACGTAATAAAATCGAATAACGCGATACATAAACCTCATGAGGTACCCATAGTTTATCCTTTGGATGTTTCAAAATGGAAATTAAAGGGCAAGACTTGTACTTTACGGTACTTTGTTTAGTTTTTGTTGGTAAAATTCTCTGCAACCAGGAGTGAACTCCAATAATGCCCTAAAACAGCCATTTTTGCACTTTTAGGTTAGAATATCTCAAAATCCTGACGTGATGGTGCCATTCTGAGGCCAGATTTGGATTCAGCGCACCACATTCCTTCGGAAATCAATATAAAATTTCATGTGATATTAAATACCCTTTAATTTGTAGACCTGTGTTATTCGCAATCGCATAGCTAAAGCTACTACCAAGCATATTAATTCATAGTGTAGTGATAGTACATAGTATAGTAGTGCTCTCTTTATGGAAACGTTTTATAATAATTTGTTTCTAATTAGTTATCATGAAGTACGTATACTTGTAGATGGATCTTCTTCACATATTAACAAAACTGCTGCTTCATTTTCATTCGTACGAGCGTATCGTTCACGTCCGGCACCAATATTTCTGCGTGTAAATAGTACAGATTCTGTTTGTCGTACTCGATTTATCAACCGCAAAATTACATTTTTATATGGAGCTCTACGCTCTGGGAAACGTATTGCGTACTCTTGCACGGCAACAGTCGCATTTTAACCGCATTCTCCATATATTATTAGCATATCACAATATTCGTTAGGAGTATATTTCATTTTAATCTTTTAAAGAAAGATTAATTTTTAGGTTAAAGAGAAATATCAATTTTTTAAAATTATTATTAACAAGAGAAAGCAAAGAAAAAATAACTAAAAGAAGTTAGTTTCAATTAAGGGAATCCTGTAGCTTTGCAAATAAAATTAAAAAAGAAAGAAATGTTGCATGCGGTGAAAATGCAACTGTTGCAGCGCAAAAGTACGTAATACGTTTTCTAGTACAACTCATCTTAAAAGATAACAAAATGCATGCTTATCATTTTAAAAAAGTTCACAATTTATTATCGCAAGATTATGCACGCAGAATTAATTTTTGTACATGATTATTGGCACAAGTTCCGGGTTTCATTCGAACAATTTTATTTACGGATGAATTTTATTTTACGCGCGAGGGTTCATTCAATACGTATCATTTCCAGAATATACAGAATAATTTAATAATAAATTATTTATTTCTCATTCTCTACATATTTTTTGATTTTTATGGATACATCTTATAGCTTATGTAACAAATGATATAATGGCAACATTTATAACAACTTTTTGGATAACGATTTACCAGAACAATAATAATAATAATAATAATAATAATAATAATAATAATAATAATAATCGCGAGGAATTGGAAAAAAAGATCATTGAAGCAATAATACCGCCAGAAATTATCATCAATGCAACAAACAGTTTACTACGACGCGCACAATTATGTATCGAATGCAATGGTGGTCATTTTGAACATTTATTGTAATTTAGTTGATTTATTTTACAGTTAAAAATTGTTAAATATGTTTGTTTTTTAATTACTTATTTAATTATTTTCTATTGAAACGATTGCAATTTGCATTTAATTGCAAACATTCCAAAATATTGCAAAATGCAAAATAAATAAATGTCAAACCTAATTCTATTACAATTTATTTGTCTTGCATAGCATAGCATAGTAGATACCTTCATGGTAACATTGATCGACCACTTTGACAGCTGAAGTTGCAATATGTCGCAAATTTTTACTTGAATCATTTTTGAGATGCCTTTAGTTCTTGCATCCATTATTCGTAAAAAGAATGTACTAATGCAATGCGTAGAGAAGCGGGAAAACATATAATGACAATGCTATTGTAAATTTATACGATAATCATAATATCATAAAAAGGGCGCCCCATTCATAGAGCACTTTTTTCAGTTGTTATTTCGCCGTGCCTGAGCGCGCAAAATCTCATTCGTAAAATATAACCGCTTCCCGTTTAAAAACTATTATAGCCTCGACATTTTTGTATTAGGATTTTCGTCTTGAAATGTTCTAAGGAATCTGCCATTAAGAGGAAGTCCGGTAATTTTAGGACACCCTGTATATTCCTGGCTATCAGTTTTGTGGACCGGTAACTCATTTAGAAACACGATTGGCTAGAGGCGATCGTGGTATCAATCCATTGGATGCCGCGTGTCGCGAGCACGACATAGCTTATTCTCGAAGTAACGATCTCGGCCAACGACATTGTTGCGAATAATATACTCGCCGCAAAAGCGCAAACACGTATTACCGCGAGAGATTCGATTCTTGGCGAAAGAGCAGCCGCGACAGCTATTTGGGCAGCTATGAAAGTATTACGTCCTGGCGACTCCACGATTCCTCCCTTCCGCGAAGTTGCGGCAATGATAATCGATCGGTGATAGAAATGAGTCGTTCGGTAAATAGAACATCTCGCACCACATAACGTTTTAAACTTTAAACATTTCATCATTTATCAGTAAATATATCTATGAGTAACCGCGAGAAAAACAAGAAGAAATTAGACCGATCAATAGATATACCATATATAGACTTTCCAGCGAAAGAACAAATAAACAGCGAAGAGACGATGAAATCACCTTACGAAATATCGAACAAAATAACCGCATCATCATCGATAGAAATCATAGACCTTTGCTATTCACCTCAAAATCACGTGTGCAAAGGTCCATCGGAAAATATTCAGCTTCGACCAATCGACGAACTATAAAAAGGGAGCCCGCGAGACTCCATCATCTCAGTTTTCATCAGAGACGGTCCTTTACCTGGCTTTCAGACCTAAGAGTTCGTTCGACCCGATTCTTACGCCGCAAGGCGTCTGATTTCGGGATAATTAAGATAGTTGTTGCGCCCTTCCATCGACTCATCCTTTTTTGAGTCTGGACGTAACATACTGTTCTTAAATTTTTGTTAATAACTTTTTAATAAGCAACGAGCGACGATTAAATTAGAAGAAAAAGTTACTTAAAATTATGTCCTTGATAACATATGTCAAGGTCAAGGGCATTGGGGCTGGGTCCCCTATTCGCTATATTTACCGAGTGACGAAGATGTAATTAATTATGCAAATAAAGTAAAAATTCTCGGAAAACAAATTTTAGAAGCATATAGAAGTTCTGGAAACGTATTATCTGACCAAAGTATTAAAGCATTATTAGAAAAAGACATGTGCAAATGTTTTATTAGAGGGCTAAAACCAGAAATCGAGCAACGAGTTTCAAGAAACTTACCAGATGTACAAGCAACTGCAGCCGATGCTATAAGGATAGAGAGAGAGCTCCGAGCAATGACAGATTTACGACAGGGAACAGCAGGTAGATACAAAACTAACAGCCTAAGAGAAATCTGTCAAATCTGTTATAAGAAAGGGCACGTAGTAACTGTAACTGTAGGAAATATTTACAAACATCTCAACAAGTTAATAACCAGATTGATTTAGGAACCGCAATATTAGTATGTCAAATTTGTAAAAAATGTGGGCATGGAGCAGAGAAATGCCGCTTCCGCGATCCACAACTTCGCCGCCCGGTAAACGTAGTCCAAGGAAGAATAATAATTTGTCAATTATGCTTAAAATCCGGTCATGATGCAAAATCTTGTCGACAGAATAATACTAATAACAATAAAATCTCGGTAATTTGTCAATGGTGCGAAAGACCCGAAGGAGCTCGATATTTTTCAGTATGCGATTTAGCATCTGGATTTCATCAAATAAAAATGGGCCGCGAAGATGGTCATAAAACAGCTTTCACTACTCCTTTTGGACATTATGAATTTGACCGAAAGCCGTTCTAAAAAATGCTCCGGCTACTTTCCAGCGCCTAATGGTCTTAGTGTTAACTGGGTTACAAGGCAAAGAATTATTCGTTTATATGGACGATATTGTTATCTATGCAACGTCTTTAGAAGAACACGAAAGAAAATACAACGCTTTAATGGAACGTCTTCGAGAAGCTAATTTAAAATTACAGCCAGACAAATGCGAATTTTTAAAAACGGAAGTAACTTATCTGGGACACGTAATCAGTAAAGACGGAGTAAAACCAGATCCGAAAAAATTAGAAGCGGTACAACTATTTCCAAGACCTAAAACACTTAGGAATATTAAACAATTTTTAGGACTTGCAGGATATTACAGACGCTTTATACCGAATTTTTCAAAATTCGCCAAACCATTAACAAATTTATTAAAAAACGACACCCGCTTCGAGTGGACATCTGTGCAAGAAGAATCTTTTGAAATTTGAAAACAAAAACTGTGCGAGGACCCAGTACTGCAATACCCAGATTTTTCCAAATCATTCATTTTAACGACCGATGCATCTGGAATAGCCGTTGGAGGAATATTATCACAAGGAGAGATAAATAAAGACCTACCGATAGCATACGCCTCACGAACCTTAACAGATAATGAATTAAAATACGATACATACGAAAAAGAAGCACTAGCTATTGTATATTGCGTTAAACATTTTCGACCATACTTATACGGAAGAAAATTCACTTTAGTTACAGACCATAAACCTTTGATGTGGTTTAAAAACGCACAAGACGCAAATATGCGAATACTTCGTTGGAGATTAAAATTAGCAGAATATGATTATGAGGTTGTATACAAAGCGGGAAAAACAAACGTAAACGCAGACGCATTATCCAGAAATCCTGTAAATATCGAAGAAATAGATTGTAAAATTATAAAAAACAAGAAACTTTTAAACCCAGATAACCCTAAAGATGCACGATTAATTGCCGAACTATTAGAAAAATCCGATAGCGAAAAAGAAGAAGAAGAAAATGACGATTTCCATTTATATCTTTCCGATATGGAAGAAAACGAAGAAATAATAGCTGAAAGCGATTTATTAAATAACAATAACGATACTCTTCCATTTACACAAACAGAATTAAATGAACCAAATTATTTATCAATTACCGAAAAAACTTTAATACACGATCCTCCTAAACAAAATAAAATTCAAAAATGAACCGCGAAGATGGTCATAAAACAGCTTTCACTACTCCTTTTGGACATTACGAATTCGACCGAATGCCGTTCGGTCTAAAAAATGCTCCGGCTACTTTCCAGCGCCTAATGGACTTAGTGTTAACTGGGTTACAAGGCAAGGAATTATTTGTTTATATGGACGATATTGTTATCTATGCAACGTCTTTAGAAGAACACGAAAGAAAATACAACGCTTTAATGGAACGTCTTCGAGAAGCTAATTTAAAATTACAGCCAGACAAATGCGAATTTTTAAAAACGGAAGTAACTTATCTGGGACACGTAATCAGTAAAGACGGAGTAAAACCAGATCCGAAAAAATTAGAAGCGGTACAACGCTTTCCAAGACCTAAAACACCTCAGAATATTAAACAATTTTTAGGACTTGCAGGATATTATAGACGCTTTATACCGAATTTTTCAAAATTTGCCAAACCATTAACAAATTTATTAAAAAACGACACCCGCTTCGAGTGGACATCTGTGCAAGAAGAATCTTTTGAAATTTTAAAACAAAAACTATGCGAAGAACCAATACTGCAATACCCAGATTTTTCTAAACCATTCATTTTAACGACCGATGCATCTGGAATAGCCGTCGGAGGAATATTATCACAAGGAGAGATAAACAAAGACCTACCGATAGCATACGCCTCACGAACCTTAACAGATAATGAATTAAAATACGATACATACGAAAAAGAAGCACTAGCTATTGTATATTGCGTTAAACATTTTCGACCATACTTATACGGAAGAAAATTCACTTTAGTTACAGACCATAAACCTTTGATGTGGTTTAAAAATGCACAAGACGCAAATATGCGAATACTTCGTTGGAGATTAAAATTAGCAGAATATGATTATGAGGTTGTATACAAAGCGGGAAAAACAAACGTAAACGCAGACACATTATCCAGAAATCTTGTAAATATCGAAGGAATAGATTGTAAAATTATAAAAAACAAGAAACTTTTAAACCCAGATAACCCTAAAGATGCACGATTAATTGCCGAACTATTAGAAAAATCCGATAGCGAAGAAGAAGAAGAAGGAGATGACGATTTCAATTTATATCTTTCCGATATGGAAGAAAACGAAGAAATAATAGCTGAAAGCGATTTATTAAATAACAATAACGATACTCTTCCATTTACACAAACAGAATTAAACGAACCAGATTATTTATCAATTACCGAAAAAGCTTTAATACACGATCCTCCTAAACAAAATAAAATTCAAACAAGAAGCCGAACTGCAAGACAAATTGAGCAAAATAAAATAACCAACGAATTGCATAGTGACGAGGGAGAGATCGAAGAAATCGAAGAAAGAAATGATCCGCCTGATAAAATTTCTGACAGTGAAAAAGAAGACGAAGAAGAAAACGAACAAAATATTATTAACAAAAATTTAAAATCAAGAAAAACGAAACCTGCATTTATTGAAAATAGAATAATTCATGGTAATGTCATAGACTCTCGAGAATTATTATTTTTACGAAAAGATAATATAGTATATTTCGTCGACACCCAGGGAAGACCTTTAGATTCAGGCTCACAAAAACTTTTCGAACAAAAAGAGCTTCCAAACCTAGGATCCCTTGTTCTAGGAAAGGTTAAGGCCATAAAACATAAAAATCATTATCATGTGGCTTTACCTGTCAGCGAAGAACAACGAGAAGGCCCTACAGCTACTCTTAAACAAATTGTTAAAATCTTAACAGACTTACGGAAAATAATCGAAGATTTAAAATTAGAAACATTTAGTATTGCAAAAACCGAGTTTATTAATAATGTTCCATGGAATGACGTCAAATCACATGTGGCGGCCTACAGCAACCACAAAATTACGGCAGCGCGATATTTGCGAAATATCATCGTTTCTCGCAAGTGCTCGCCCGTCCGCGCGTAGTGCGGGAGACGCCGTTAGTCGGCGCAAGGCGCTCGGACCAACAAGAGAGTGGAAAGCAGTCCGGCGGGCATATAGCGCGTCCGCGCGTAGTTGCGGGCAGCACCGCTAGGCGGCGCAAGGCGCCCGGGCCAACCTGCAAGTAGAAAGCCGTCCGGCCGGAATATAGGTCAGACCCCCAGCAGAGAAAGGACACGAAGAAAGTCATAGGCGCCAGTCGCCTACTTTCAAGCGCAAGTCGCTAAGACGTTGGAGAAAAGAGGCAGAAGAAAGCGCTAGACGCTAACTCTCGACAGACGAAGAAAATTCTTGGCGCCAGTCGCCCACCTTCCAGCGCAAGTCGCTTTAAACGTTGGTCAGCAATACGGCGCCAGTCGCCGCACCACCATCCACGACGCCACGGATAAGGGATACCGTTCCGCTACCCACGGTAGCCGAAATCGCCATCCGGCGAAGGACTCGCCCGACGCCACTCCACAAGGTGGTCAAGAGGAGGAAGGTGGAGGAGAGCACGCTAAGTAAAAGCAGCTCCCGACCATTAGGCGTCAGTTCGCTAACCGCCTCCGGCCACCATCGGCATTAGACGCTCGATCGCCATCCGCCTCCGGCGCTCGTCTGCCATCAGTCGGCGCCAAGTCGCCAGCGTCACCCGGCGCCCGGCCGCCATCAGCGTTAAGCGCCCGATCGCCATCCGCCTCCGGCGCTCGTACGACATCATCAGGTGCCCGGTCGCCGTCTTTCACTGGGACCTGCTTCCCGACGATTGCCGGTACCTGCTCCCCAATCACGGTCAGTGACAGATCACTGTCGCCCATTGGTGCTGATTCACCGGTGGTCTCCGGCCGCTGGCCACCATTCAGTGGCCCCTCCAAGGGGAACGCACGCTCCGGCGCCCAGTCAACCAGCGACTCCCATGCAGAGAGAAACCAGCAAAGCAAGGACCGGTTTCAGGCTCTATTCGGCGCTAGCCCGCCAAAGCTGATTGCCGGGCATTCCGGCTCGGAAACCAAGAAGGATCGGCCTATCTCCTTGCCGCAACTAGAGCGAATCTTGGCGTCCCCAGCGAAGACGTGGAAATTACCACCGCTGATTTCGCCCATCAAAATCTCGCCTATTAAGGAATACTCGAAGCGGAGAACTTGTGGGACGCAGACTAGTCCAATCCCGTTTCCTGGCCTCAAGAGGACGGCCAACGCGACGACCCAGACAAAGAGACGCGGGGGCAGACATAAGCCCATGTGCAATAATAACAATAATCATTATGCGTGCAATCGCAACTTGCGCTACTGATGTATGAGTAGAAATAAATACACTTTATGCTTAAAAGCCGACTCATTCATTTATCTACCTACAATTAAGATAAGTTGGGTAGTATCCTAAAGCGATAGATCTCCTATCCTGTACCTACCCACACACATATACAATCAACATTCACCGACGCTCCTACTAAAGTTATTATTTGCCACGGACTAATTAAATATCCACCGAAAGATTTACGTTCCGTTATAATTAGTGAAATGCATTGCTTACCAACGGGAGGACACCGGGGAGTTACGAAAACTTATAACCGAATAAAACATAATATCAACCATTGTCATTGGAGCTGCCAAAAAAATGTCATCAACATATCTATAATAGAATGATATTTTAATTTCTTTGGATGATGTGTCGCTGTTTACTAATGTTCCCATAGATTTAGCATTGTCCGGTGTGAACGATAGATGGACATATATAGAAAAATTAACTGACATCCCAAAAAATGATTTCATCAACATTGTCAAATTCATATTGACTTCCACGTATTTTACCTTTGACAATAATATATACAAACAAACATTTGGAACTACCATGGGCTCTCCATTGTCTCCAACCATAGCGGACATTGTTCTGCAAGACATAGAAAGCAGAGCACTGTCTGAGATTGGATTTAATTTATCATTCTATTATAGATATGTTGATGACATTTTTTTGGCAGCTCCAATGACAATGGTTGATAAAATCTTACAGATTTTTAATTCATATCACAAAAGAATTCAATTTACGTGCGAGTTAGAGGATAACCAATATCTTAGTTTCTTAGATCTTAAGATTCATAAAAAAATACACATTTGATCATTGATTGGTTCCAAAAACCAACATTCTCGGGGCGATATCTGTCATATTTTTCCAATCATCCAACTTGTCATAAAATCGGCACTATATATAACCTAATTGACAGAGCGATCTTATTATCTCATCCTAAATTTCATGAAAAAAACATAACTTTTTGTATTAATGTTTTAATGGACAACGGTTATCCTCTTCCGTTTATTTTCAAATATATTCATATCAGACTAAAAAAGCTTATCACAGTTAATTTAAACAACAACACAATTACAGCGAATAATGACACAGTCAATAACAATAACAAACAATTTATATACAGCAATGTTTACAATGTCAATTGAAAAAACTTGTACGAGTAAAAACGAAACAACCAATGATAATCACAGACATACCAGGATCTTCTTTCGATAAAGTAGTTATGGATATTGTAGGCCCTTTACCTAAAACTGAAAAGGGAAACGAATATATTCTAACATTACAAGATCAATTAACTAAATTTTGCATGGGGATACCATTACCGAATCAAACTTCCGAAACCATCGCAGAAGCTTTTGTAGATCGATTTATTTGCGTACTTGGAGCACCAAAAGCAATATTAACAGATCAAGGCAGAAATTTCCTTAGCGATCTAATAAAGAAAATTGCAAAATTATTTAAAATTCGCAAATTTCGCACAACAGCCTTCCATCCTCAATCAAACGGATCATTAGAAAGATCACATCACGCATTAGGCGAATATTTAAAACAATACGCGAATGAACAAAAACAATGGGATAGATGGATTAGCCTTGCCATGTTTAATCATAATACGAGCGTACATGAAGCAACAAAGCACACTCCATATGAGCTGGTTTTTGGAAAGATAGCACGTGTTCCATCGAACAAACTTCTACCTCCTGGGGATAAATTAGCAAATTACGACGAATATTTAATAAATCTTGTAACTCAACTTCACGCAATTCAGGGAAACGCACGCGATAACGTTATTCAAGCTAAAATTAAATCAAAAAATTATTACGATAGAAAAATTAACCCACAAACTTTTAAACCGGGAGATCAAGTATTTTTATTAAAAGGTCCAAAACCAGGTAAATTCGGAGATCAATATACTGGGCCTCACGAAGTTCTAGAAATTTTTAATAAAAATAACGTCAAAATTAGAATAAAGAAAAATAGCCGAATTGTACATCCGAACCGCTTACGAATTTCATATATTAAACCTACTAATAAATAATTATGAGAATTTTCAGATGGACCTCAGAATTGGAAGACGAATCACGATAATAATTTTAACAAAAAAAAAAAAATAATAATAATTGAAACTTTATCAAACAGAGTAATAGGAACAGACTTAACTTAGCAGTCACAGTATATATATTCCCGATCGTGTAAAATGAGAGAGAACATAAACGAATGCGCCATACTGTATCATTTACTTGTTAGATTAATTAATATACTAAAAACGTATATATATACATATATATATATATATATATACATATACATATATTATACATATATACACCCACACACATATATATTTTTAGTCTTAGACACATATAAACATTATAAATGTTACTGCGTTTAACATTAATTTAGCGGACAAAAATATTATTAGCATAATATATAGATCAAATTCTGATACGTTCGCGTAACGACAACAATTGCATATTTAGACAAGCTTCGACTAAAACTGATATCGAATTATTCAAGATACAATGGCGTATGCCCCATGTAATATTGAGCGAGATCAATAAACTATCCTTGCTGCGCGCGTTGGAAAGCGGGCGATACTTGAATGTGAGTTTTCGCTCTTGGGATCTATACGAATTTCCTCTATTGCATAATACGACCAAGCATTCGTGGACCGTGAAAGCCGCCTCTCAACTGGAGAAGCCGCGATACGTGATCTTTGCGCTGCAGACTGGCAGAAAAAATGCTGTGTCAAAAGATATACTACATTCGACGACTGCAAATTGACCAACGTTAAACTCTATCTAAACTCGGAATTTTATCCCTACAATGATTTGAATTTAGATTTCGATAAAAATAGATTCGCCCTCTTGTTCGATATGTACTCTCGTTTTCGCAAATCTTATTACGGATGTGATAATGATGATGTGCTATTAAACATTTCAAAATTTTTACATTGCGGTCCTCTCGCAGTTATTGATTGCTCGCGACAAAACGAGTCTGTCCAAAATTCCACCGTGGACGTGAGATTAGAGTTTGAGTGCTAGGAGGATATACCGGCAAATACCACCGCCTATTATCTCATCTTGCACGATCGCGTTGTTGAATATTGCCCATTGACCAACGTAGTTCGTAAAATTACCTAGATCAGTAAATATCCCCTTCAAAAATATATAAAAATTGAGATTTTGACGATCGACAGCAGTCGTACATCATTCTTGCAATTGTACTGTAATATTATCAGTATGATCGCGCCAACGTTTGTGGATCTACAAGGATTCATTGTCGGGAGAAACTTTATCGTGAAGGAAGTAGCGATACTGAGAAATGGATTTGTTTTCTTTCACTACATTTTCGCAAGTCCCGTACCATGGCGTGTGCTTACAAAATCTGAGAGATGCTAAGCTTCATGGCTAATTGGACATCACCATGGACTGCAATGGGAGGATGAAAACGTTCCATACAGCATAGCTTAGCGTTTGATTACGAAGGCTGTGATGGATGCGACAGAAGATAAAGATGGAGCATCTCCTATCGTATACGTTAAAAGACGCGAAAAACGAGAATGGTTAGCCGATATACTTGACGATGATGCAAGAAATGATGTTATTATTGAGATCTTGGATGCGGACTATGAAGATATCACTTCGTTAAATAAGCTAGATAACGCCATCTATTAGTAATAGATATTTATATATCAAGCGAATGAGAAGTATCGATGGTGTGAGGTCTGAATAGCTCAGCGGTAAGAGCAATTACCCGGCAAGCGAAAGACTCGGGTTCGATTCCCGATTCAGCGACTTCGCCCCGATATTTTTTTCGCCTTCGTCTCTCCAGGGGGGTAAAGAGACGTTAATATAAATGTCGAATTGAGATTAATTTTAGAAAAATCTTGGTATAGCACCAAGTAAATTTCGTGCCCTGTGCACATAATCAGTTTCATAGAAAACTTATTTTTCTATGAAACTGACGCACTACCATTCACGTTCTGGCTCTTACTAACCCGCGATTATTTGAAATTTGTGATACCACTCGAGAACCTAATTTCTTTAAATTGTTCACGCCGGCTGAAAGATGGCGTTATTAGTAATAGATATTTGTATATAAGGCGAATGAGAAATATCGGTGGTGTGGGGTCTGAATAGCTCAGCGGTAAGAGCAGTCGCCCGGCAAGCGAAAGACTCGGGTTCGATTCGCAATTCAGCGACTTCGCCCCGATATTTTTCTCGCCTTCGCCTCTCTGGGGTGGTAAAGAGGAGTTAATATAAATCTCGAATTGAGATTAATTTTAGAAAAATCTTGGTATAGCACCAAGTAAATTTCGTGTCCTGTGCACATAATCAGTTTCATAGAAAACTTATTTTTCTATGAAACAGATGCACTACCATCCGCGTTTTGGCTCTTACTAGCCCGCGATTATTTGAAATTTGTGATATCACTCGAGAGCCTAATTTCTTTAAATTGTTAGTTCACGCCGGCTGAAAAATGGCGTTATTAGTAATAGATATTTATATGATATATAAGGCGAATAAGAAATATCGGTGGTGTGGGGTCTGAATAGCTCAGCGGTAAGAGCAGTCGCCCGGCAAGCGAAAGACTTGGGTTCGATTCGCAATTCAGCGACTTCGCCCCGATATTTTTCTCGCCTTCGCCTCTCTGGGGTGGTAAAGAGGGGTTAATATAAATCTCGAATTGAGATTAATTTTAGAAAAATCTTGGTATAGCACCAAGTAAATTTCGTGTCCTGTGCACATAATCAGTTTCATAGAAAACTTATTTTTCTATGAAACTGACGCACTAACATCCGCGTTCTGGCTCTTACTAGTCCGCGATTATTTGAAGTTTGTGATATCACTCGAGAGCCAAGTTTAAAAATGTTTTAGACATTTATATTGATTTTGTTACATATACTTATAAACATAAGAACATAATATTTATAAAATAAATAAAATATAATTAACAAAATGTCTTCTATTTTGAACTTAAAATAT